TTCTTCTTCTTCTTCTTCTTCTTTTTCTTCTTCTTCAGGTTTCATGTCTGGAGTAGACAGTGACGATCATGGTACCCTATTCCTTTCTGTTGTCCGTCTTCTTGATCAGCTCAGTTTTGCTCTAAGCGTTATTCGTTGCAAAGTTATTAAGGCCATCTGTGTATTATGTTGTTCTTTTTCTCCATCTGCTCTTAATTTCCTCTTTCTTTCCACACAGCAGCAGTTTCTCTAGTCCGTTTTGATCTATTTGAGAAGACTTTGTACTGATGGGTTTTATTATAATTTCTTAACCTCTCATTCGGAGCACTTCTCTCTTTGTTTTCCTCTCTGTCCATGAAATTCTGAATACTCTCCTTAAAGCCGCATTAGGGTTAGGGTAGCCATTACCATACGCCGTTCCTAACCGTAATGAGAACTCTTCCCTTGACACCAGAATCCACCAATATAAGAATTTAATAAAGAACGCAGGTCCGGAAGGTTGCCCTAAATGCCAGTGCTTAAAATCGGTGTCTTGTCTAAATGAATGCCTGTCTTATACAAAGCACGCTGTGTATTCACTGGTGTAGACTTGTGTTGATTTCTACACGTCACCAGGGTCATTCCACAAACTCAAGCCACAATTAATATAAAGCCGAGGGCCGAACTGGATGAACACTAATTGAACAGTGAAAAACTTCACCTTTTTCAGCAATGCTATGAATCTAAACAGACAAAAGACACAGTAATAACAAATCAAGGTAGGCCTAAAATACATGAAATACTAGTGTCCGCTTTATTGCCAATTTTTCAGAGCCACATGTTTCCCTCATACTTATGGTCTGTTAAATGTGCACCATTCTATTCCAGATGAAGTGGCGTTGGTAGCCTAGTGGTTAGTGGTTAGGTTACCGGACTCGTAATCTTGAGTTCGTGAATTTGGGGGTTCGAGCCTCAGCTCCGTTAAAGATCGTACATAACAAGATAGTTCACTCAGCCAAGAAAGTCTCCGCGGAAGTCTGGGCATTGCTTCAGATGGCGCTGCGGTCTTTGTTTTGAAGCTCTCTTTTGTTTCTCCAGAAGAAGAATATGAATAGCACAGTTCGATGGTTTCACTTTTATTGTTTTTCACACAAGTAAGGCAATTCTTTTCGCAAAGTCCACGCTTTTTCGAAGATGGCACCACCACATTTTGAGGGCACTTTAATAATTGGCTCAAAGAGAGAAGTGAACTACAGATGTATCTTGTTATACACGATCTTTGGCTCGTCCGACGTTGTGTCCTTGGGAAAGGCATTTTACACGAATTTCCCATTTGCTTTGGTCCTCTCGGTGATGAACGTTAAACTTGGAGGTCCCGCCTCTTAAACAACTTAATAATGTTGACAGGGGCGTTAAACCTATACCATTTCACCATTTTCATTTATTCCAGATGGCGACCGTGGCTCCAAATAAAGTCCCGTCATACTTGGGCCCATTTTCAACTTTGGTTGAATACATGGGCAAAACATACCCCAAAGGCTGTTATAATGTGTAAGTAGACATTTATGAGGCAGCGTGGTGGAATCAGGCTCTCGTCAAAATAATGAAATCGAAGAAAACAGCAGTTTTCTCCCTGCTTAGAAATTTTTATCGAATTTTTGTGTTTTTTGCTCAACACATTTTATGTCCATTTACAAACACATTCCTTTGAAGATTTCACCGAAAACGTTGATTAAAGGCACAAAAATATAAATTTACAGTTTCCATGGACTCTCCATCTTTGGAACTTTCCAAGCTTTGGCGGCCATTTGATCACTAATTTTACCTCTTAAATCAGGTGACCCCCACCCCCTTCAATCCAAAATATCTCCACTTCTATTGAAGATGGATGGGTAGTTTTTCATTGAAAGAAAGACAAATGAACAAGCTTTAAGATGACACCAATAACTCAATATGCCCAAAAAAATTGACGAGAGCCTGATTCCACCACGCTGTCTCACATTTGATGAAGTATAACGTGGAAGCAACTAGAATCTAGTGGGGGTGGGGGGTGGGGGGTTGTGAAGAGTTACTCAAAATCAAATCCGAATTTTTTTCAACCGTTTGCTCAAGCATGGGGTAGATCTACTTATAAAATGTATTTCATTCTGATTGTTTATCATGCCAAAATTGTTAACTGTTATTTAAGTGAGTTATTTACTGACAAGACGTTGGCATGGGAGTCCTATTTATTTTAGTTCTAAGCAAGGACATCAGGTCAGGGTGAACGATTCTCTGATATGTATAGCAAGTTGCTCTGAAGGTTACAGGAGCTAACCTATAGCAAGTTGCTCTGAAGGTTACAGGAGCTAAACAAAAGAACATATCAAACACAATAAGAACATTCGGGTAATGGTGAATGTGATTTGGTGAAATAGATGTGATTAAAGGGGAGGGGTGTGTGTATAATATATTAATATATACAAACAAGCTGCCATGTTCGTTTGAACTTGGGGTATTGTGTCTTTCCCAAGAAGGCATCCCAGTGATCGCCACCAACCCCCCCCCCCCCCCAATCTAAACCCAAATTTACCACGACAAACGACTTATGTATTATCTGTGCAGCTTTTTAAACACTGAGGCGCTGGTGTTCACATTTGTGAGGCAGCGTGGTGGAATCAGGCTCTCGGCAAATTTTGGGCAGGTAGAGTTATTGGTATCATCTTAACGCTTGTTCACTTGTCTTTATTTGTAGAAAAGAAAATATCCATATATCTTGAATACAGGTCGAGATATTTGCGAAAGAGTGGGGGTCACCTGTTTTCTGAGGTAAAATTAGTGAGAAAATGGCCGCCAAAGATTAATTATTTCCTTAGCCTAAGAGTCCGTTGTAACTGAAAATTTACTTTTTTGTGTCTTTAATCAAAGCTTTTCAGAAAAATCCACTCAGAAATGAGTTCCTTAATGGGTATAAAATGTGTTGAGCCAAAAAAAAAAATTTGATAAAAATTCACAAAACTGCGGAAAAATGCAAGTTTCTTCACTTTGATTATTTTAACAAGCGCCTGATTCCACCACGCTGCCTCACATTTTTTAAAGTGGAAGTGAAGGGCAATGACTATTTAAGAGTAGCCTATTTGATGGCGATAAATAGAAATTTATTTTTAAAAAACTACAGTTTTATTCATTCTTAAACTTAAAATGAAATTCTGGCCCCCTCATGTTCTTACGAATATTGGATACTGCTTTCATTTAGATATTGAGGGTTAAATAGTTTGTGGTTTCTTCTTGAAAGGGCCACAAAGGACGGTGCCGCTATTTCACCCCCAACCCCACCCCACCCCCCACCTCTCCCTGCTCATTGTCAGCTCAACTTAACTTACGGCCAGGTTTTGCCCACGAGTGACTAAACTAATGTAGTGTCCTTGGGGAAGGCTCTTAACACGAATTTTCCTCACTTCACCCAGGTGGGAATGGGTACTCAGCTTTTGACAGTGACAGTGAAAGATCTTGTCAGTTTCTTTATTTTTGAGCTTTTAATCTGCTGCTTGCACTGTATGCTTCCCGGGAAACTGAGAATGCTTCTTAGTGGCGTCGGTGGCCTAGTGGTGAGGCTCTCGGACTCGCAACCGTAAGGTCGTGGGTTCGAATCCCGTCAGGGGCCCGACATTGTGTCGTTGGATTTTCCTCACTTCACCCAGGTGGAAATGGGTACCCAGCTATAGACAGTGAAAGATCTTGTCAGTTTGATAGTGTTTGAGCGCGTGAAATCCGCAGCTTGCACTGTATGCTTCCGCGGAAACTGAGAATGTTTCTGAGTGTTCTCAGAGGGTCTGCTGGGGTAATAATTGTTGTAAAGCGCATAGAGCAAGCTCTTGAGCATGGATATGCGCTATATAAATGCAATTATTATTATTATTATTATTATTATTATTATTATTATTATTATAGTGTTATAAGGTCTGCTTTGGTAAAAATAATATAGTGTAAAGCGCATAGAGCTTGCTGTCGAGCGGGGATATGCGCTGTACAAATGCCCTTTCGCAGAGTTTGTTGCGGAAAAAAAGCTTTCACGTTTTTGGCATTTCAAGTTTGATCCACTACTTTTATCAAATTTTGATTTTAACAGGCTCTTTGTTTTGTTCAATCGTTCTGCCAGTTCTGAGTTACTGATTTAGAGCCATTTTATGACGTTTGGCATAATGTTCGAAATGTGAGCATGGGTTGCTAACACCTCGCTACTCTAAAATTACAAGTTTTTATCTGCTCAGTACCTAGTTTTAGGAAAGATAGCTTTGGGTTTTTTGGGGGGGTAAACTTGACATTTAAAAAATTGAGTTTTACAACATGTCAAACTTTTCCGAGTGCAATTTTTTGAAATCTTGATAGCGACTCCGAACAATCTTATAAATTTGAGAGAGCAGATACGCGGAGAACATATTTTTTGGGTCTCTGACCTCATGGTCTTCTCGAAACGGCCCAAAATGTGAGATAGAACTTTGTAATTCTAAGGTGGCGCATGCGTTACAACGGAGTGGTTCAGATTAAAAGCTTTTGAACCAACTGTCTTAACGGTGACGAGTTTATCAAGGTGCAACGATAAAGTTATTATTGTGTGGGCTTCTGGATTTGCGTTCTTTGATATTCCTATTTGTCAAACGGGTAAACACTCATCATCATCATCATCATCATCATCATCATCATCATCATCATCATCATCATCGTCGTCGTCGTCGTCGTCGTCGTTGTCATCATCATCATTGTAAAAAAAAAAAAGCATAAGGAACGGGAAGAGTGTCGTGATTAGATCTAATTTTTCACCGGGAAATAAATTAAGTTTTGCAATTATTTAAAGCATTGGGAAAAAATAATAATTGAAATTACCAAAGATTATTAAGTAGGCCTATGGAATGTCAATATTCACCAATCTTTTCATCCGTGTCTTTCTTTCGCAGAAGTGTCTTTCTTCTAGCTGTGCATTCTTTTGAAGCTGCGTATGCTGGAAAGCTGTGCCTGTAAGTTGTCACTAGTGTTTTGTCTATGTGTACATTGAAAGTTGCATTCATTGAATTTACAGGGTTTGGCCTGGTCTTTTGTTTTAGTAAGGTTTTACGGCGCTTGCAACTGCATAATGTCATAATATGAACGCCAAGGGGGTGTATGTCAACAGAGAAGTTCTAACGGGGAATGAGGCTTACTCTGCTCACCTCTCTAGCCTCAACAGCACAAAGTTTGCTTCGGCTATAAAGGCATCCCCGAAATAGCAGTTCACAAGAAAGTGACAAACATACAAAAGAAGTAAAGGGAAAATGACGATAGTAAGGATGAGGAAAGAAAAGGCAGCAGTTCCCTGGCCTGGTCTGAGGTTTGGGTATAAGTTAAGTCTGACAAACATGAATGTTGTAGGTCGATTATTCTGTACATATTCTCTTAAGAGCCACAAGGCTGCAGGTTGATAGGGACAAAAATTGGCTTTATTTTTATCGGTAGTTAATTTATACTCCATTTTTACTGTCTTACTCAAATGCAAGTTTCAAAAGGGTTGCGTGTTTGATTTTCTTCGACCCTGGCATAAATTATGAATTCTGATTGCAGTTTTCCAAGAGTACATTTATTTTCTTTTACATTAAACAGAAATGACTATTTCGCTAATTAAAAAAAAAGACAAATTCTGACCTGTTTATCGTATTATTTGTAGTGTGTATGTAAAATTGTACTTTTAGTTATGGCAGAATTCCAATGTGGATTATTACAAAAGTAGGAACCATGCCACAGAAGTTTAAATCTGACAGGTTTAGCTCCCTACACACACGACATATTCCGGATAACTCTAGATGGCGTGTGTTGGCGTTGACCTTTAGAAGTTACTTCCTGAAAGTGTTGTCCTTGGGAAAGGCACTTTACACGAATTTTCCTCACTTCACCCAGGTGGGAATGGGTACCCGGCTATAGACAGCGAAAGATTTTGTCAGTTTGTTAGTGTTTGAGCGCTTATTCAGCTGCTTGCACTGTATGCTTCCCGGGAAGCTGAGAATGTTTTGTAGTGTTCTATGTCTGCTGGGGTAATAATATAGTGTAAAGCGAATAGAGCCTGCTGTTGAGCGGGGATATGCGCTATACAAATGCTATCTATAATTATTATTATTATTATTATTATTATTATTATTATTATTATTATTATTATTTTTATTATTTTTTAAAATTTTTAAAAAAAATTATTATTATTATTATTATTATTATTATTATTATTATTATTATTATTATTATTATATTATTATTATTATATTATTATTATTATAGTCAATAATGTAGGCCAGAAGGGTTTTTTAATGTTTTGTTTTGGTAAGTTTTACAGCACTTGAAACACAATTAGATCATATAACTTATAAGTGCCGAAGATTAAAAGTGCTGCAAAAGAGTAACAAACACAAATATGGAGGAGAGATAAGGACAAAAGATGCCTGATAGGAAAGAGAATCAAACCACACCAGAGCACTCGCCAACCACTCACAAGGTCAGCAGGTTTGTGGAAAAAATACGTGTGTTCTTTTCTTCTCCCCAGCGACCGCGGCCTCAGCGCCGGAGCGACCGCCAAGTGGACAGCATCCACCCTCCTATTTGGAGTATCCTCACTGGCCAGATTGTGGCGGGCGAGACCGGCTGTGAAACTTGCATAGTAATAATTTATTAATATTACCACAGTTGCTTGTCTTAATTAACATCATACTAACTGATACAGATGTACCAATTAATGGTTTAATTAGTATTTTTTATAACTGTTAGGCCTACAGATGTGTCAATTACTGTTTTACTTGATATCATAATAACTACAGATGTATCAATTAATGTTTTATTATAATAACTGATACAGATTACGAGGGCAGTTAGCAAACTAAGGTTGAAATCGCAATATTATTATATATATATTATACAATCTTAGAAATATATTATGTATCACTCCCTCTGGATTGCAAAGTTATACCAGAATCTGACACGTTTGGCCAATTTGAGTTACTAAGACCATGATGCCAGAAACAAAATGTTCTAGAAATCTATCTGCTCTGTCAAAATGGTAACATTATTCGGAGTCGTTATCGAAATATTCAAAGAATTGCATTCGAAAAAGTTTGACATAATGTTAAACTCAAAATCTTTGGCATCAAATTTCTCAAAAACTAGGTATAGAGCAGATAAAATGTTGTAATTCTGAGTTAGCGAGTTAGCAAACTATGATTGAAATTATAACAGATGTTTATACAATCTTATGTTTGCTGAAGGCAATGCCCACTTCTTGCTGTCACATCTTACCAGCTGATCAGAAAAAAGTTCGCTCAAAGAAATGTTAATAACTTTCTTCTTTATGATCCAATTAAAATCATGACCCGCGTGGAGGCAGGGTCCTACGGTAGAGGTGTTTGGAGTCAAACAGTTTTTACATACAAAAAGAAATAATGACAACGAGTTTCTCAATCCCGTTGCTGTGTAAAATGCCCCAACATACCTACCACTGTACTATCTACCTACTTAGGTCCTCCAATCACTTGTCTTGGCCCGATAGAATAGGCTAACACTAACACCGTCACCGTCATATTAGCAGAGACTGTGCCCACCATTTCGGAACTTCACGGTGACTGATGGTAGCTGTGGGGAACGGGATGGAAGGTGCCCACGTCCCTCATCGTGACTCATTGGAGCAGAAGGCGTCTAGGACTAACGTTAACTATATTTTTAAAAACCCAGCTTACAGCAGATGCATTTAAAAAAAACAATTCTAATGAGGCGGGGATGAATCTGGAAGATTACAGGCCACATAATACAGGACAACCGGGAGCTGGCAATACAATTTTTTTTAAAAACATGTTTATTGTATAATATCTTTCTTTTTTATAAACATTACTTATGTAGAAGTACATGGACAGGTTGAGGTCAAGAACTACGCCAAGGATTTTTTAAACTTTGTTACTTATCCCAAGACCATTCTGCTGTCATCTCGGTCAAGAAAAGTACTTGGAGTACTAACTTTGTCACTTGTCTGAATGTTGTGGCCTCTTACTTTGGTATTTATTGTGTGTATGTGCGTGTGCGTGTGCGTGTGTGTGTGTGTGTGTGTATGTGTGTGTGTGTGTGTGTGTGTGTGTGTGTGTGTGTGTGTGCGCGCGGGCATACGTGCGCGTGTGTGAGTGTTGTGTTTGTGTTTTTGAGTTTTTGTGTCTGTGTGTATGTTTATTATGATGCTATGTGCAATCAGTATGATGTATGGGAATTTCCTTAGCATTTGGCACATTGCGTTTAAATTTACATATACATGTACTGCTGTTCTTCCATAGCGTGATGTCTTGTAAACATTGGTTTCTTACTTCAACCATGGTGTCGACATCGCCAATGTTACCAGCAATATACATTAACATTTGAGTGTTATCTGCATAGAGATGGTCTTTCATTTTGTGTTTTTTAAAGAACTGTATCTCTATAAATATTGCCTTTTGATTTAGAAATCGAGTTTCATTAACTATGGTTATTGATTAAGAGTGCTGAAATGAATAATTCGTCTTTGTCTGCATGTATATAGGTCAGTAGTTGAGAATCATGTGTATGTGTCTATGAAATGTGTGCGAGTGCTTGGCTCTCTTTATTTCTATTACCGGGTATTAGAAGAATAAACAAGGCTTTGCAATTGCTGTTGCTGGGTCACATTTTAAAAGATGAGTTGGTACAGGTTCATGTTTAGCTTGGTATCACATGTATAAATAAAGTCCATTTTGAACCTTTTTGTTTGATCTGATTTATCAACAGATCTTGCTTTATTCACTTTTACAAACCAAAGAGGCGATGGTAACATAAGATCATTTCTAACTCATTCATACAAACACAGACACACAGACACATACAGACTCTCTCTCTCTCTCTCTCTCTCTCTCTCTCTCT